TTTCGTTTCGGCCTGGAAAAAGCAACACACGAAAAGAACTTGATTTTTTCTGTGTCTTTTTGAGGAAAAAAAAAAACGAAAACCGCTTGCTGAAATGTAAATTGTTTAATATGCATTTTGCTGTTCGGTTTTTTTTTCCTTTCTACTTTGGAGAAGTCGAAAAAAAGTGGGCAGCATTTCTATAAATATGGAAAATAAAACGGAATAAAATTAAATAATGCGCTTCGTGCAAATAAAAGATGAAGGAAGAAGAGAAAAAGAACAACAGCACACGAAACGAATGGAATTGTGTAAAAGGGCGAATGAGCGTCACCACACACACACACACACTCTCGATGCGCTCAATGCAATCCAAGTTGCTTCATTCAAACTTATCTTGGCTTCATCAACTTGCTTGGCATTTCTTCGCTTTTTAGTTTCTATTCATTCGCTGCACATCTTACGGACGGTTTTTGAACAGGGGTGCTCGATTTTTTTCCCTCTTCTTTCGTTTGTTTCGTCATTTGGTTAAACAGATTACAGCCAGAGAACACATTAAACAATGACTGCTTACGAGAAACGGTTTGGAAGACGGAATTCGAAGCGGCCGCTTACTCGCTCGCTCACGAATGCAAGTGCCGAAATTATTTTGATGTTGGGATTCTTTCGTGCGCATCGCCACTTCTTCTTCTCATTCGCTCTCTCACTCTCTCTCTCTCTCTCTCGCAGCAAAAACAATGCCAACAATAACAACAACAACACACAGACACCCATGAACAGTAATGTCATTTGATGGCCAATTTAAGGCATTCCATTGAAAATATTCTATTTAAATTTTCCTACATGTTTTATTCAAGTCAGTCACATTGCAATTGTCGATTGGGCGCTTTAGTTCCTCTTTCTCTCTAGCTCTTGCTCTCTTTTTCACCCGCTCGTCTTGGCCTTTTGGCCGTTGTCGGCATCGCCGAGCGGTGTGCGCTTGTTTGTGGAAGAGTTGATATTTTTGCGGCGGGATGGTGGCGACACACGTAAATTGAATGCCAGTTTCTTGCTCTCTTGATCGCTCTTTTCTTTCTCGTCCTCTCATTTCTTTTCTCTATTGCTCTTTCGACCTACCTCCCACTCTCTACTCTTCTTCTTTACTCTTCTCTCGCTTTCTTTTTCTATTCCACTTTTCCACTCTCTCTCTCTCTCTCTCTCTCTCTCTCTCTCTCTCTCTCTCTCTC